GTCTCCTCGAATCCTCTAGCAGTGAACTCCTTTGCTTGTCTCTTGCACAGGTAACGACTCAACCTTCCTTGTTACATAACAGCGTGGAAGTTAGCAGGAATTTTTGGGGAATAAAGTGAAACATGTAGACCTAAAAAAGTTGAAAAGGAGAATGTAAATTCATGAGTTTGCAGAAAAACTACCAATAAATAGCACCGGAAACGGTGAGTTATTATCCATTTTTACAGCCTAACTAATGCTTGGTGTAGCGTAGTTACCTCAGCAGCCACTGTAATTGTGTTTTTTAAGTAAGGTTTATTTGACCTACTTCTGCGGAATCGCTCGCAAATGTTACCCATCTTAAGTGGCTCCCAATTTAAGTTCTCTTTTTTCGCAGAGCCTTGCTCCCTTCATGCTGACTAGTTAAAGATGACCAATCCAAGAAATCACTTTCAAGTTTCGATCAAGTGTAATGGTGCAGAAAAAATTGTCTGTATAGACGTAATACACTGTTGCTGAAAATTCTTCGACAGCTGACGACCGGTTTCACTCTTCTTTGGGCTCATTAGGTAGGCGCAGTGCTCGAGATTCCGTTAACCTGATGTTCTACTTTAAACCAAATTTCACGAAATTAGCGGAATACACTTATGTGAAAAAAAATTGGTTTTGCGAGAGACTCACATAGAACCCTGCTGAATCTCCCGTTTATGATGTTTGTGGTGTCTGGTTTTGTTTCAACTGACCGCACATCCCTATTCTATGTGAGACGCAATGTGGGAGTTCGGCGCTGTCCCAAACTGGAGTACTCTTCTCTGTAAATGTGACTCAAAATGAAGAGTCAAGGCTTAAATTAGATAAATTTCTTCAAACTTATGTTTGTCTGACTCAACATCAGTTAGTAAACCGATGCTGCACTGTTTCACCCTCCGGTACATCTGGTGAGTTGAGAAATTTTATTGCAAATGAAGTCCTTTTGTGCGAGGCAGTATGATGCAAACGACCTACCAAGTTTACCCTGAAGGGTTGTCTTTTATATAAACTCAGTCGTTGAGCGTGAGTCTGGTGGCAACTTCTGGCTGCCTTGAGCCCCTCGTACAAATATATCGGTCTTAGTCGCCGAATCCCGAACTGCGAGCTAGTGGCGCTCATTTTAAGCATGACCATCATTCATTTAGTCTTCCAGCACCTTTCTGTGTTGTTTTACTTCACTTTTTAACAGTTACCAAATGCGATGCGGATTAGAAACCTTATGCCAACGATCTTCTCTGACGCTCAAGATATCACAGCTATGCGTAAGGAATGCCGTCTACTGTGGAATGAATTCGGTTTCGCGGCTATACTGCACACATCGAGTATTCGGTTATCAGACCAAGAACTCAAAACAAGAACAGAGCACGTGCTA